ACACACACACACACACACACATACGCATACACACAGCATTCGTGGGTTGCAGGACTATGGGGAGAAATAATGACACAGAGTCTAAAATCTCTGATAGAAACAGAGAAGTAGAGTGCCTCTCTTATTAATATCATAAAGGCAGGAAAAAAAAGGTACCATCCTGATTTTTATCACAGAATCCTCCCTGAAGTCCGTGTGCCCACAGTGCTTTCCCTTGAAAATGCTGTCCTTTTTACACAGGGTGGGTAATAAAGTTTCATTTTCCCTGGCGCTAGGAACTGGAGAAATAGTCTGAGCAAACACTGTGATCAAAGGGAAAAACAGAGCTTGCTTTACATTTGTTTTAAGACCCTCATGTTAGAAGCATCTGGAGAAATCTCTTAAGAGACGCCTGCGACTTTCTCTGTCCTATCACTGTCCTCCTCCATAATTATTTCTCCATTATTCCATAATAACACATTTGCCTTTGTGCCCTTGTATATTACCTACTTGGGAGAATCATAAAAGACGTCATCAAAATGAACTAATTAACTATCATATCGTTTATAGTTTTTTTTCTCATTTTACAAATGGGTAAACTGAAGCAACGGATAGGTAACGTAATGGGTCCCAAAAAGCACATCAGAATTTCTTACCTTGTGGAACAGGTGTATTCCAGAAAAATCAAATATGGGTGAATTTACAGCAAATCCTGCTGTATTATTGACTTCCACTGGAAAAAAAAACTACTCAGGGATGCATCCTCATAGGAATAAAATCTCACACAGCCGTGCACGTTGAATGGATTGGTTTAATTCAACATGTATTGACCACCATTGCCGTTGCTCCACACACTGTCCCAGGCAAGAAGAGGTTGTAGGAATGAGGGACTTAGGTGGGGAGGTCATGACGTGGTTGACCGTGGGCTCCGTGGTTATAATGCAGGATGGGGTCAGGACAGCTGAAACGGGGACCCGGAGCTGTGGGGGTTAGGGAAGGTGGAGGACAGCCCCAGAAGCGGTGATTGGGGGTCTTCGTAAATGCAGCCATCTTTGAAATGAGGCTCTGTGGCGGGCTTCACAGGGGCCCCAAGGAAGACATGCCCATGTGCTAATCCCCAGAACTTGTAAGCATGACGGTCTTAGTCCATTTGTGCTGCTGTAACAAAATATCAAGACTGGGGAATTTATAAACAGTGGGAATTTATTTCTCACAGTTCTAGAGGCTGGTGAATTCAAAGTCAAGTTGCCAGCAGGTCTGGTGAGGGCTACTCTCTGCTTGCAAGAGGGTGACTGGCTGCCGCTTCATCTAGAAGCCATGGACGCTGTGTCCTCCCATGCAGAAGAGATGAAACGGGTAAACTCACTCCCTCAAGCCTTCTTATTAGTGATAAAAAAAAGTCCTAAGCCCCCAGTGAACTGAACAATGGACCCCTCTTGGCCAAGGGGACCCCAGAGAAACCTTAAATCTGAGTTCCCAGCCACGACAGGACAGGAGGTCAGACATGCCTCGTTATACCCTCTCCTTCGCTAAAGGCCACCAGACTCTGTCCCTAGGGCTGAACAGAGCTGGACCTTTGGAATGACTCAGTCCACTGCTGGTTTCAACCAAGCTCAACTACCCCTCCCTGTTGTGGTTTGAACACAACTGACCTGCATTCCTTCCTCATAAGAGACCACCGACCAACCGGTTCTGGCCGGTCTGCTAAGGCTGCACACGGAGTACCTTTGTATCTCTGCTTCACTTTTTAACATCAGAGGGCTAAAAACTCCACCCTGGGATCATGCCGACACCAGTGTTTTTGAACAGGGACCCCATGAAGGGATATGAAGCTCAGTTGTGCCCACGCACGTTTCTCCTTTCATAAATATTCATGACTCCTCCTACAGCTTGTTAAATAGGTATATTCAGCCGCTGTGCTCAGCACACATTTCTGTCTCCTCTACTCCTTCCTCAAAGTGCCTGTTTCCTGCTTTTGGCTGGAGGCTACACTTCCCAGCCTGTCCGAGTAACCGCCTGCAGGCTGCGTATAAGAAATAAAGCCCTCCTTTCTAAATGTATGAACCTTGTCCTTCTTCAGGTGACATATGGCACTAATGCCATCCATGAGGAGGGAGTGCTGATGGCCCAATCACCTCCTAAAGGCCTCCTCTCTTGATACTATTGCCTTGTGGAGTCACTTTCAACATGAATTTCAGAAAGGACACTGACATTCAAACCATAGCAGTGACCTTATGTGGAAGGGATTTTTTTGCTGTGATTAAGACAGGGGTTTTGAGATTTGGAAATCATCCTAGATCATCCCAGTGTGCCCTAGATCCAACGATTAGGTGCCTTTCTAAGAAGCTCACAGAGGGAGATTTGGCAGGCGGCAGAGGAGGCAGCCACGTGACCACGGAGACAGAGATTGGAGTGATGTGGCCACAAGTCAAGGAACACCCACAGCCACCAGCCGCTGGAAGAAGCAACTCAGAGATTCCACCCTAATCTCTCTGGAGGGAGTGCAGCCCAGCTGACACTGTGACCTCAGACTTCTGTCCTCCAGAACTGTGAGAGAGAAAAAAAAAATTCTGTTGTTTTAAGCCACCCAGTTTGTGGCAATTTGTTATGTCTGCTCCAGGAAGCCTTGGGCTAAGGAAAGACCAGTCTGGAGCACAGAAGGTCATAGCCAGAAGTAGAAAAGTGTCCTTGTTTTGGAAAACAAAAGAGAATTTGCCACATCCAATATCTCCCAACCATGAGGGGAAGGGGTATTGTGATAGTTAATTTTATATGTCAATGTGACTGGGCCAGGGGGTGCCCAGGTTAAACACTATTTCTGGGTGTTTCTGTGAGAGTGTTTCCAGGTGAGATTTGCATTTGAATCAGAGGACTAGGCAAAGTAGGCACCCCCAAGTCTTGGAGGGCCTGTAGAGAACAGGTGGAATTCCTCCTCCTTTTTTCTCCCTGCCTCACCGCTTAAGCTGGGACATCTCATCTCATCTTTTCTGCCAGGCACTGGGATTGACACCTTTATCTCCCTCGGTTCTCAGGCCTTCAGATGTGGACCGAATTATACCATCGGGTTTCCTGGGTCTCCAGCTTGCAGACGGCGGTGGGACTTCTCAGACACAAGGATCACATGAGCTGATTCTTCGTGCTAAATCTCCACGTTTGTATGTAAATATACTGGTTCCGTCTCTCTGGAGAACTCTGACTAATGCAGTTGTCTATTGGCATTTGGGGAAGAACAATTTTTCTTTGGGTAGGGCTGTTCTATATATTGCAAGGTGTTAAACCTTCCCGGCTGTGTGGTGAAATATTGATAGCATTCCTTAATCATTCAGACAACACATTTCCTTCCACGCCCCCAAATTTCAAAAGTCCCCTGGAGAGCAGTTCTGCATCTGGTTCAACCACTTGTAAGCTTTAGAGGAGGGAGTGTCCTTTGTTCTTTGTGCCACAGGAGATGGGATTAATCCTGGCAGAGGTCATGCGATTGTTTTAGCCAAAGGTGGGGCAATGGGATTAATCAGAACCTTAAAAGCTCTGTACTTCTGCTCAGAGGATGTTGGTACTTTGAGACGAGAGTCTGCCAGCCTCCTCATTTGCCAGCAAATCAATAAACTCCTTTTTCCTTCTCTTTAAACCACTGGTCCTCATTCTTCTGATGCAGTCTGGGGCACAAGTACCCGAACTTTCGGTAACATTACTGAATTTTTAGCTTCCTCCTTCCTTCTTTCCCTCCATGTCTCCTCCCTCCCTCTCTTTTTCCCTCCCTCCCTTGCTCCTTTCTTTCTTCTTTCCCTTTTTATTTCTTTTCTGTCATCAGGAATGAGTGCTGAATTTGACTGAATGTCCTTATCCTGCCGATGGAGAGGGTCACATGGTTTCCTCCTTTCATCTGTTCATTTGTATTGCTAGGGCAGAGACAACTTACTTCAAACCCATTCTCCCACTTCTCTTTAGGAACCATGATTTTATTCAGAGTGACAATGCGCCCAGCTAATAGACTGCATTTCTCAGCTTCCTTGGATGCAATAAGTGGTCATGTGGCCAATATGACAAAGGCACAGGTCTGCGTGGCTTTCCAGAGAAACCCCTTAAAATGAAATACACCGTTTTGAGTGCACCCTTTTGCCTTCCCTTCCTGAGCACTTAGCTTAGTTTGGGGGTGTTTTAAGTCCACACAGGTGGCATTTTGCCTTAAGCCTCCTTCAGTCCCTACTTTTCTCACTCAGCACGTCCTGTTTCGGAGACCCAGCTCGGTGCGCAAAGCCCACTCAGCTCACTTCAGGCCGTGCAGCCCCCGCCCCCGATGGGCCCGGGGTTCTGGGCTCCAACCTCTTCCTCGCCGCACAGGAGAGGTCCTCGCGTGGGTTTCCCTGTCTGCAGACACCGTCCCTACCTTTCCCTGCTCTGGGTAGTTTTAGGGTTGCCTGGGTCAGGGAGAGAAATCGAAACTGACCGTGCCACGTCCCCAGGAATATGACTAGAGAGGAATCCGAGGCTTCGTGGGGACCAAGGCCCCTGCACACATTGTCGCGTACAAGGAGGCTCAGATGCCCTCTCAGCACCTCGTGGGAGTGGACCCCGGGTCTCGGCTGGTCCCCGTGGGCACAGACCCGC